TGTCCCATCTAAATCGGTCGACAAAACTCCATACGAGCTATGGAGAGGAAAAAGACCAAACTTATCTCATATGAAAGTTTGGGGATGTGACGCTTATGTAAAGCGAAATGAATCAGATAAGTTTGAAGCTAAATCTAACAAATGTGCATTTGTGGGATATCCAAAGGACACAATTGGATATCAATTCTATAATCCCGTTGAGAAGAAAGTGTTCATCTCAAGGCATGCCATATTCTTAGAGAAAGAGTTTATTCTAGGAGAGGGTAGTGGGAGCAAACTAGAACTTGAAGAAGTTCAAGAATCCACAGACACTATTGACCAATTAGATGAACTTGAGTCTGATCCTACACCTGTTGATGGACAGACTCTTGATCAGGATGTAGAGAACCCTGAGGACACTCCAACTCAGCGTAAATCAAGTAGGATCATTCGACCTCCCAGGAGGTACGAATTCACGATTACTAATCAAGTATTATTAATCGAGGATGATGAACCTACAAATTACGCAGAAGCAAAGTCAAGTGTTGATTCGAAGAGATGGCAAGATGCCATGGAATCCGAAATGGACTTAATGTATGAAAACAAGGTTTGGACCTTGGTTGACCTTCCAGGTGGGATAAAACCGATAGGTTGTAAATGGGTTTACAAGAAAAAGGTCGATGTGGATGGAAACGTCCACACATACAAAGTAAGGCTAGTAACGAAGGGTTACACACAAAGACAAGGTATTGACTTTGATGAAACTTTTTCGCCTGTAGCCATGCTGAAATCCATTCGAATTTTGCTTGCAATAGTTGCATACCATGATTATGAGATATGGCAAATGGATGCCAAAATTGCTTTCCTTAATGGAAACCTGCAAGAGGAGGTGTACATGATACAGCCTGAAGGTTTTGAATCCAAAGGAGCCAACAAAGTATGCAAGCTAAATCGATCCATTTATGGATTAAAGCAAGCCTCTAGGAGCTGGAATCTTCGTTTTGATGAAATAATCAAAAAGTTTGATTTTATCAAAAATGAAGATGAACCGTGTGTTTATAAGAAAACAAGTGGGAGCGCAGTCGTATTCCTGATATTATATGTCGATGACATATTATTAATGGGAAATGACATCCCAATGCTTCAATCGGTAAAATTATGGTTGTCAAAAAATTTCTCCATGAAAGATATGGGAGAAGCAGCGTATATCTTGGGAATTAAGATCTATAGAGATAGATCTAAGAGATTACTAGGCTTATCCCAATCTTCGTACATAGATAAAATCTTGATAAGATTTAATATGGAAGAGTCTAAAAGATGATTATGCCCCATGTCACATGGGATTTACCTCTCAAGAGATATGTGTCCTAAAACATATGATGAAAGGAGTCGCATGGACAAGATTCCTTATGCTTCGGCGATAGGATCTATCATGTATGCGATGCTATGTACAAGACCAGATGTCTCGTATGCTCTAAGTGTTACGAGCAGGTTTCAAGCAAACCCTGATGAGAAACACTGGATAGCGGTTAAGAACATTCTTAAGTACTTGAGAAGGACTAAAGATGTGTTCTTGATCTATGGAGGAAATAAATTGAAAATTCAGGGGTATACTGATGCTAATTTTCAAACTGATAAAGATGATAGCAAGTCTCAGTCAGGATATATGTTTACTCTCAACAATGGAGCGGTTAGTTGGAAAAGTTCCAAACAGGAAACAACCGCTGATTCAACAACAGAAGCCGAGTACATAGCTGCTTCTGAAGCAGCAAAGGAAGCTGTGTGGATCAAGAAGTTCATTAATGAACTTGGAGTCGTTCCTAGCATTATTGATCCCATACCTTTGTATTGTGATAACAATGGAGCCATCGCGCAAGCGAAGGAACCGAGATCTTATCAACGATCCAAACATGTGCGAAGGCGATATCATCTCATCAGGGAGATTATACAAAGGAATGACGTAACGATAGAGCGAGTTCCAACAGATGATAATATTACAGATCCACTGACAAAGCCGTTGTCACAACAGAACATGATCGTCATGTGGATGCTTATGGTATTAGATACGTGAGTGATTGGATCTAGTGCAAGTGGGAGTTTGTAAGTGTTATGCCCTAAATCCAATCGATTTAGGTTGTAAACGCTTTTAATATATTTAATGCATTTGATTTTGGCGAGATCTATTATTTATTTAAATTAATTTTGTAATAAATAATATTAAATAATAGAATCCGAAGATCCAAAATTTAGGTAATCTGTTAATCACAAGGAGTTGTGATTGTGATATACAAATTACATATAATTGGATCTTGAATAAACCATGGTCGTAAGTAATAACGAGATACGGATATCGTTAATACAGTTAGACCATCACGTGTGGCATTTCTTACTTGTGAAATAAGTAGCTGATCTCACGAGTTAAAGTGTGGTGACACTTAAATGAACACGTGGATGTTTTGTTATAGAACAAAACATTGGAGACCCGCTAAGAGATTCCACATGGATAACTATCTGAGTGTCAGTGGCTAATCTCTAACGTTCGGTAGTGGAATTGGTCCTTTGACTTGAGGTCGTCATGGTACCTTATATGAGGACAGTCATACTTTGACGGTGTTGGATGTTGCTCTGAAAGGGGCCGATAATACGACATCGTTCGGGTACGTCAAGAATCGTATGAAAGTTGTGATTAATCAATAAAGGATTCGTCACTCTTAGATAGTAGGAGATTATGATCTGCGTTTCATTCAATTAAGTCGATGATGAAATCCTTGGTCAAGGTGTACTCATAAATCAAAAAGTTAAGTCGAAAAGGAGTTTTCGATTTATATTAACTTTATAGTGGAGTGAAAGATATGATCAATGATCGAGATTGACATAATTCCATATCTCGTAATTGATCGGATCGTATTGACGGAGGGATAATAGTTTCACGGTAAACGAACGAATTTGGTTTTGTCATACCACGTGACATTTTCCGTCACATGTATTGCCCTGACACATTGCTAGATGTCAATCAGGGACGGCGAGTGTGAATTGACGATAAATTAAAAGGGTGTATTAATTTATCAATTTTGATTAGATCAAAATAATATTTCACGACGTTAGGCATCGTGGTCGGGAACCTAATGGGTCGCACACAAAAGAGAATTGGAAAATTGCAAATTGCCAATTGGTTAATTTAACAATCGTTGGATAAATTAATTAATTGAATTTGTTATTTATATTCCCGAATTAATTAATTGGATTAATTAATTCACGGACCGGGTTTAATTAATTGGATTAATTAAATATTGAACCGGACCGGACCGGGTCCGTTTGGGTTTATATATATATACATAGCTAGGGTTTGAGGTCCATAAGATTTTCATTATTCTTGCTGGCACAAAAGAGAAACTCTAGCAGTTGCAGTCTATTCTCTGTGTGGATTTCATTGGAGGCTGGACAATTGGACAGTTGTGAAAGGCAGATTCAAGCTGCTGGAAAGGAATAACGCGAAGGAGTTTGCAAATTACAAGAAAATGTATATTTCTTATCACAGTTTTTATCTAAATACACAGTTGAATCTTGAATGGGAATTGAAATTTGTTAAATTCCGCTGTGCATGTTTAAATAAATTCCCAATAGCTTCATCAGTGATTTCTTCACACCCAAATTTCGCCCCACTGGAGCTTCCTTCAAGCAACAACAATTGTGGCCCTTTGCACTTATGACCGGCCGAGAACTTTTCTAGGCAGTTGAAACAGAGTCCCTAGGGGCGCCGTTTCTGCATTTCATCCCAGGTTAGTCGCTTCACTCGAGTCGAAGCCGATATGGCATTTGGCGAACGGTTGGTAAGTACTAGCTGCGTAAACTTCCGTTGGCGCAGGAGTTGGTCAACTCGTATGCGTGCAAGACTGATAGCTTTCTTTAAAGTCTTTGGATTGAACATTCGAATCCCATTAGAAATTTCTGACTTAAGACCTCCCATAAATGTCCCGACAAGCGCCTTTTGAGTCCATCCGTGCACCCGATTACCCAATCTTTCAAACTCTTTCTGATAGTTGCGCAAGGATCCAACTTGTCGGACCCGTGATAGTGCTTCATCGAAATCTCCACATTCGGTTGGTCTGAAGCGTGCCCACAGCTCTTCCTCAAAGACTGCCCATGTCACGGTTCTTCCTTCCTCCTTGTATGCTCTGTGCAGCCATTGCCACCATTGGTTGGCTTCCCCTTCAAGGTGGAATGACGCCAACGCAATTTTTGGGGCCTCCGGGTTATTCTGGTATTCAAAAAATTGGTAGACCTTGCTGAACCGCTCCGTCGGATCATTGCCTGAATATTTTGGAAACTCCAGCTTAGCCATTTTTTATGAGAAGATCACCCTTCCACCTTCTATGTCTCCTTTGTCTTCCTCTTGGTTAGCACAAGAATGGCTCGTGTGCTAGTTGTTATGGTTGCTGGACCCTTCTTTGTTCAAGAGAAAAGTTTCTGACATGCGGTTGATGGTTTCCTGGAGGTGTTGCAGCTCCTTGGCCATATCCAGTTCCATCTTCTGCAGTCCGGCTTCTAGACTCTCGATCCTTTCTTTGTTGGTTGCCATGAATTCAACACAATGTCAAAAATAATTACAACGCTGCTCTGATACCAATGATAGGTCCCAATCAGAGTTTAATTGTAATTGAAATTCTCTTAGGGTCAGAATTAAACCACAATTAGAACAATTTTCTTCTGATATATTACATTGCAGTCAAATTACAAATATATATAGCCATGAGTGGTAACTGAATACCCATTCTCAAAGCCCACGTTTACATTAAGGAAACTGAATAAAGAAAATGATTACATATTAAAGAAACTAAATATTAACTGACAGCCGTTGCTTTTGCTGGAAATCAGGTGACTGCTTGGAACTTGGTCTTGCATGCATGCATTTCTCACAATCTTCACTCTTCCACATACCTGCAGGTCTTCTTGCGCATGCGTTGAGATTGTCTAGATTTCCATGGCTTATCAAAATATGTTTTACAGCTTTTGGATGTCAATTGGGTTGTACAAATCTGGAAAAGAATTTTAGTCAGCAATCTGCTATCATTGAAAAAAGGAAAAAAAAAATCTAGTTGTCATGTCTTGTATTTGTTATTTTTTCAGTTCTTTTACCTGTATTCTTAGTTTTTCTCCGAATGATACTTTCTGGCCTTCTTGCAGAATTATATTTAAGCCATCATGTGCTGATTTAAATCAAACTAATTCTGGTACCGGGATGATTACAGGGAGAAGGATTACAGGAAGAGAAGCCGCAGCAGAAGTAAGGGTAGATATGAAAAGGAACGGCATCGTGGCAGGCATAGGGATTATCGCCGTAGAAGTTGGAGCCGAAGCAGAAATCACAGTCTTAGTCATAGGTATCACAGAGACCGTGGAAGAGGCAAAGATGATGATGAGAGGCGTAGTCGAAGTCGGTCTTATGGGAGCTACTAACTTCTTTGTTGTCATCGTCAATTTTTAAATTAATTTAGTTCTTTATAATTGTTTTATGAAGCCAATTGGTGTATGTAATAGTCCTTCCCCTGCTCGACGTAGTCTTAGTCCCCGGAGGAGCCCATCTCCGCGTCAAACAACTTCAAGGGGTGGAAGTCCAGATGCTCTCTCAATTGCAAAGAGCGGTCTCCAACCCCCAAAAATTCTCTCCTCCTCGTCGTGGTACTGATTCTCGTAGCCCTACTCCTCGTTCTGATGCTGATGTGAGTTCTGAAACCCTCTCTCAATTATTTTTTCCACATTTGAAAGTGTTCATTAAATTGTTATATTTTATATTATTTTCCAGGAGTAAGAGACTGAAGTGCAGTTTGATGGATTGGCTTGCAGCTGTGTGCGGCTGCTTTTGTCTTTCAGAATATTCAGATATATAGTATCGTCTCTCATCTATTTAGTGGTCTCTAGAACTGATTTCCCTGAACTTATTCCTAAGGTTGAACTCTTTCTTGTACTGGATCGATGGTTTGTTTTGATGATATCTGCATCTAATTTATGCAGTTTGACATCATAAGAAATGTCTTACCCCCTTGCTTTATAAATCTACAGTTTCTGTAATGCTTTGAATTTTAGCATCCTTCGTAGTTTTCATCTATAAATTTGCTTTGCTCTATGATTTGGCTTTCCTGTTGCATAAACTAAATTTAGATTATTGAATAATTTACTTATATGAAACCTTTATTGGCCTTCTATAGCTGTGATCATGAGGAGTAGTTGTTGCTGATGGACGAGATGATGCAGCAGCTATTGATGCTGTGCTGTTTTATGATGATGCAGTAGCTGTTGATGCTGCTTTTACTTTCCTGTTGATTGCTATAATTTCTTGCTGATGACAGACTGCGGCTCCTTTAAAAACTTTCTAATTGGTAAGTATAACAAACTTGAATGTAGTCTTAAATCACATTGGAACTCTAATTTTGATGCCCAGTATAGATATGTGATGTTAAGCTGTAGGTAACTGATAAATAGATTTGCTGCTTGATTCTCAAGGATGCTCGATTTATCTATGCAACCTTGCTACGGCTTAAGCTTATTAGATGCATTTTATATGTTATTAGGAGAGAATGTTGTGATTTTTTAAACTTGAAGGGATGTGTCTGTATTTTGTTACAAGTCTGAATGGCTTTCTTTGAAATTTTCTTGAATAGTAATATACTGTAAAAACTCTTATGTAGCATGTTCCGTGCGTTGCCTGGACAATAATGAAGATGATGAAGAAATCGAAATTAAATTTTTGGCTATTGTATTTTGTCTGAAAGTATGCGCCATGAATATTTCACATCTATTTTGTACGTGATCCTTGCAAGTCTTTCAACCATTTTTAATCTCAATTTTGGGTTTTATAAGCAATTACCATACCACCCTTGAAATTCTGTCTGCCCCAAAAATTAAAATAAATAAATAAATAAATTGATGTATTAAAACCTTTAAATGACTGGTGATGATTAGACCCTATTTGGTTTAGATAAAAATTATATCTCAGTAAATTTTGATAAAAAGTGAAAAAAATATGGTTGAAAATAAGTTTTAAGAAATCGGAGTCAAAGAGGGGATTATTCGGTTTAGGCTCAATAAAATTTTTGAAGAGTGTCTTCAAGAGACTCTATTTTGAAAGAGTATACTCTATCATTTGAAAAGCATTTCTAAATTTAAAGAAATAAAATTTTGAAGTATTTCAACAAATTCTTTATATTTAACACTTAGTTTTACTACAAAAAATATTTTAAATTTTTTTCTATATTTGATTTTAACTAGTTTTCCTTTAGATTATTTTATTATTTTCCTACATTAAAAATTGAAACATTTTGACTGCATTTAATAATAGAGAGTGGGTTTGGCTCTCCAAATGTTAATTAAAAGAGTCTCTTAAAGTATGATTTTAAGGGTTGATTCTTTAAAACAGAAAGTATCTTATATTTAAAGAGTCTCTTAAAATTATCTAATGACCTTAATGGTGAGGAGTACGCTAAGTTTTATTTCTTCATCCATTTTTATTGACTTGGAAAATTTAGAATCAAGCATGGAAGTAGTAAATTATGGTACGTCGTTGTAGAGTAAGTAGATAAATGTTTGTTTAGTTCTAGCAAGTGAACATCTAGAGATTGAGAAATTGAGCTATACAGCACATAAGCAATATGTGATTTTATTATTATATAGTAGAATTTGCTGCTCAATTTATCTATGCAATCCTATTCTGGTTTAGCTTATTGGATGCTTTTTATGTTGAAGAGAGAATGTTGCGAAACTTGAAAGGATGTCTCTGTATTTGTCAGAAGCCTGAATGGCTGTCTTTGTAATTTTCTTGGATAGTAAATATATTGTAAAAACTCTTTCATAGCAAGTTCCATGGACCATATGGCCTGGACAATAATGCAGAAGAACAAGAAAAAAGAAATTAAATTTTGGCTATAATATGTTTAAAATACTGCGCGATAAATATTTCTATCCCTTTTTGACAACCATTAAAAAGGGGTTTTTTTTATTTTTTTATTTTGAAATAATGAGTTTTGAAATAGTGATTTTTTTTTAGGATGTGGTTAAAAAGTAAAAAAAAAAATTTGAATTTACTTGTAAAATATTTTATTGTGAGAATATGTGATTAAAAATGAGTTTCAACCAAAAAAAAAAGGAGTTTTATTTTAATGATTGTCAAATGGGAAATGCATTAGAGTAAAAATTTAAAAGTCATGTACTTGTACTTGATCCATATAAATTTTTCAGCCATTTCTAATCCATGTACTTTTGAGGTTGCAAGAAATGGTGAGAACTATAAACCAATGTGAAGTAGCTAACTTTCTTTTTCATTGTTTTAGACGAAACAAATGAGTTGCTGCCCAGATTTAGACTAAACAACTTAATTGCATTTTTTCTTTCTCTGCCACTAAAAGACAGACGATGACTTCAGAAGTCTTCTAACACTCCAAAAGTGTTTGATAATAGAATGCTGCCTTCTGCTTCCTGGAAGAATGGACATAGGGAGTGGACTTGAAATTCTTCCCCATTACATACGTAGATTTTATTTCCAATTTTGCATTTATAAATTACAGTTTCATAGCATCTAAATTAATTCAAGCACAAAGTTTAATAATGAAGATGATCGAGAAAACGAAATTAAAATTTTGGCTATTGTATTTTGTCTAAAAGTCTGCGCCCTGAATATTTCACATATATTTTGTACGTGATCTTCGTTAGTCTTTCAGCCGTTTTTAATCACAATTTTGGGTTATATAAACAATTACCACCCTTGGGAATTCTATTTGCTCCAAAGATTAAAATAAATAAATAATTGATGTATTAACACATTTAAATGACTTGTGATGATTAGACCCTGTTTGGTTTAGATAAAAATTATATTTTAGCAAATTTTGATAAAAAGTGATGGAATCTTGTGAATTAAATTATGGTTGAAAATGAATTTTAAGAAATTAGAGTCAAAGAAGGGCTTATTCGGTCTAGGATCAGTAAACTTTTTGAGGTTGTAGTCACGTCTAATGACCTTAATGGAGAGAACTATAGACCAATACGCAGTAGCCATTTTGTTTTTTGCACTTTTTCTTTGATCCATCGTGCGTAGTATTTTGTATTGGACTTTCAGCAATAATTGATTTGCTGCCCAATTGTGAAAAAATAAGGGATAGAAACTGACACGATGACTTTAGAAGTCTTTTACACTCCAAAGTCTTTGAAATTCTTCCCCATTACATACGTAGATTTTATTTCCAATTTTGCATCTATAAATTACAATTTCATGGCATCTAAATTAATCCAAGCACAAACTAAATCCCAGTTTAATAACCATGTTGAAGTACCCCATTTTTACATTTTTCTTGTTCCTGCCTTTTCTCTTCTTTGTTTGTCTTAAACCTGCTTCTGCTTCTTTTGCAGAAGCAAATGCTCTACTGAAGTGGAAAGCCACTTTCAAAAATGAGAACAATTCCATTCTAACTTCTTGGACTCATCCAAAAGCAAGGGGTAGTCCTTGCAATTGGTTTAGAGTTTCTTGCATTGATGGAAGTGTCAACAGCCTGAACCTTACAAATGCAAATATTAATGCCACCCTCAATAAGTTTCCATTCTCGTCTCTCCCAAATCTTGCTTTTATCGATTTGTGCATCAACCGACTTTTTGGCTCCATTCCACCTCAAATAGGTAAACTCTCAAAACTCGTCTATCTTGATATATCCACAAATCAGCTTACAGGAACAATCCCATCAGAAATAGGCCGACTAACTAGTCTTCAAACTCTTCATTTGGTTGAAAATCAACTTAATGGCTCGATTCCTTCTGAAATAGGACAACTAGTGTCTTTAAGTGAGCTTGCATTGTACAGTAACAAACTTGATGGTCCAATTCCTGTTTCTTTTGGCAATTTGAGAAACTTGACCTTTTTGTATCTTTATAATAATTCTCTTTCTGGATTTATACCCCCTGAAATGGGAAATCTCTCCAATCTTCTAGAGGTTTACATGGACACCAACATGCTGACGGGGCCCATACCTCCCACTCTAGGGAACTTGAATCAGCTGCAAATTTTGAATCTTTTCAAAAATAAACTTTCTGGTTCGATCCCTCCTGAGTTGGGGAAGCTAAAGTCACTTGAAACCTTGAGTTTAAACTTAATTCTCTTTCTGGATTTATACCCCCTGAAATGGGAAATCTCTCCAATCTTCTAGAGGTTTACATGGACACCAACATGCTGACAGGGCCCATACCTCCCACTCTAGGGAACTTGAATCAACTGTAAATTTTGAATCTTTTCAAAAATAAACTTTCTGGTCCGATCCCTCCTGAGTTGGGGAAGCTAAAGTCACTTGAAACCCTGAGTTTAAACAATAATAATCTCACAGGTTTGATCCCAGCCTCTTTAGGCAAAGCTACGGGTCTAACCATTCTGCACCTCTACGCTAATAACCTTNCATTAGGTGACCTGAGCAATTTAGAATATTTGTTCCTTCGTCAGAACCAACTTTCCGGTCCCATTCCAAGTGAACTAGGAAAATTGAAGAAACTTGTTGTCCTGGAAATGGATGAAAATCAATTTTCTGGTCATTTGCCAGAGTTATGTGGCGGTAGGTTAATACAACATTTTACTGTGGATAACAATAGACTTTCAGGTCCAATCCCTAAAAGCTTGAAAAATTGTTCCAGTTTAACTAGAGCCCGATTTGATCACAACCAGTTTTCTGGGAATCTGTCGGAAGAATTCGGTGTCTATCCAAATTTGACATTCATGGATCTAAGTGACAATAAATTCTATGGTGAACTCTCCAATGATTGGTGTATTAGCAAACAACTAGAAACATTGAAAATAGCGAAGAACAACCTTTCAGGGAGCATTCCTCCTGAATTTGGAAATTTAAGTCAAATACAAGTACTCGATCTTTCTTCAAACCAGTTATGTGGGGGGATCCCAAAGGAAATTGGGAAGTCAATTTTACTTCTGAAAATTGATCTGAATGACAATCAAATTTCTGGGCATATACCTCACGAATTGGGATCATTGTCAAGCTTAAATTACCTAGACCTTTCGAGAAACAGACTGAGAGGTCCAATACCTGAAAATTTTCCAAATTCTAGGCAGTTGTTTCACTTGAATTTGAGCTACAATTTTTTAAGCCAAACAATCCCGGTTCATATTGGTAAGTTAACTCATTTGTCTGCATTGGATATGAGCAGTAATTCACTTACTGGAGAAATACCATCTGAAATAGGATTTTTGTCAAGCTTGGGAATGTTAAACCTCTCACACAATCGCCTCTCTGGATTCATTCCTGAGAGTTTTCAAATATTGCCTGGCGCTGTGGACATCGATATATCCTATAATGAGTTGGAGGGCCAAATTCCTAATGGCAAGCCCTTTCAGAATGTCTCCATAGAAAAACTACGAGGGAATAAAGGATTGTGCGGTAATATTGCAGGATTGAAACCATGCAAAGTTCCTCCTCCTGTTGAAAACCACAAGACAGGGAATGGTCTCAAACTCATTTTGAGAGTTGTACTTCCCCTTCTTGGGGCACCTCTACTTCTATTTGCACTCGTTGGCATCCTGATCATGTATGATCGCAGAAAGAGGAATTCAATAGATGCAGAAGATGATTTGCTTTCCATATCATCTTTTGATGGAGTAGTCATGTATAAAGACATATTAGAGGCCACCAAAGAATTTGATGCAGCATTTTGCATTGGAGAGGGTGGATGTGGAAGGGTTTACAAGGCGAAGCTTCCATCACAAGATATAGTAGCAGTGAAAAGAATTCATTCATTGTCTGAAATGGCAAATCGTAGAGCGTTTTTAAGCGAAATAAGAGCACTGACAGGAATCAAGCACCGGAACATTGTGAAACTTTATGGTTTCTGCTCAAATGCTCAACACTCGTTTTTGGTCTATCAATACTTTGACAGAGGTAGTCTTGCCAAAACTCTAAGTATAGATGAAGAAGCTAAGACATTGGATTGGCCGAAAAGGGTAAATATTTTGAAGGGTGTGGCTCATGCTTTGTCTTACATGCATCATAGTTGTTCTCCTCCAATTGTTCATCGAGATATCTCAAGCAACAACATTTTGCTTGATACAGAGTACGAGGCACATATTTCAGATTTTGGAACTGCTAAGTTTTTGAAATGCGACTCATCGAATTTGAGCGCTCTTGCAGGCACATATGGTTATGTTGCACCGGGTAATATTTTTTCTTTTTTCGTATATATCATCCACGGATTGTTCATACATGATTTTAATTGTATTTGTTCACTGATGTTTTGGCAGAGCTTGCTTACACAATGAAAGTGACAGAAAAGTGTGATGTGTACAGCTTTGGAGTGTTGGCTTTGGAAGTGATCAAAGGAAATCGTCCTGGTGACAGTCTCAGACATGGAGAATTACAGTTTAAGGATTTTTTGGATCCGCGCATTCTATATCCCAACCTCGAAGAAGAGGAGATTTTGATGTTCGTTGTTAAATTTGCAACTAAATGCATTCACTCCAATCCACAATTTCGTCCAACCATGGACGTTGTTTCTGATATGCTTAGTGCATCCACCACCATCTCAGTGATTTCTTAATAGCATGAATTTTATGAAAGTTTGCAAATGATGCCAATTGTTTTTATGTATTTTTTTTCCTTTGATGTATTTTTGCTATTTAGGCATCAAACTTTTCCTTGTTTATTGTTTACTATGAATATTGTTATTTTGTACCAAAAGTAGTGGATATGGCAAAACTACCTTGCAGAAAGTCATATGAAATGGAAACACTTTTCCCTTGACTTATAATATTTTGGCTTTAAATTGTTTTAAGATGTGGAAAGATTTCTATCCTTTGATATAAAATTCATCACGTTGTTTAGATGATATCGAGTTTGTAGTATTGTTACTAATTATCTCCTTTATTTATCTTAAACCTGCTTCTGGATCTGCCGTTGAAGCAAATGCTCTACTGAAATGGAAAACCAGTTTTGAAAATCCCTACAATTCACTACTAAATTCATGGACTTTTGAGCCCCATAATTCCACCAATTTTTCAAGCCATCCAAAAGCAACTGCCAATCCTTGCAATTGGTATGAAGTTTCTTGCATCTATGGAAGTGTTCATAGCTGAACCTCACAAATGCAAGTATTTATGCCACCCACTGTAAATTTCCATTCTCGGCTCTCCAAGACTTGTTTATTTGAATCTAATCAACAATCGGCATTTTGGATCGGTACCTGTTAAAATGGGAAATTTCATCAATCTTGTACAAGTTGACATGGACACTAACTTGATGACAGGTGCTATAACTCCTCCAAATCTAGATACTTAAATTTGGAAGTATTATCATTTAATTTTTTCTTAAAATCATAAATGCGAAAGGACGAATTTAATTGAATAATTTACTTATATGAAACCTTTATTGGCCTTCTATAGCTGTGATCATGAGGAGTAGTTGTTGCTGATGGACGAGATGGTGCAGCAGCTATTGATGCTGTGCTGTTTTATGATGATGCAGTAGCTGTTGATGCTGCTTTTACTTTGCTGTTGATTGTTATAATTTCTTGCTGATGACAGACTGCAGTTCCTTTAAAAACTTTCTGATCATGTCATAACTGGTAAGTATAACAAACTTGAATGTAGTCTTAAATCACGTTGGAATTCTAATTTTGATGCCCAGTATAGATATGTGATGTTAAGCTGTAGGTGACTGATAAATAGATTTGCTGCTTGATTCTCAAGGATGCTCGATTTATCTATGCAACCTTGCTATGGCTTAAGCTTATTATAAAAGGGAATATGTTATTAGGAGAGAATGTTGTGATTTTTTAAACTTGAAGGGATGTGTCTGTATTTTGTTACAAGTCTGAATGGCTCTCTTTAAAATTTTCTTGAATAGTAACATACTGTAAAAACTCTTATATAGCATGTTCCGTGCGTTGCCTGGACAATAATGAAGATGATGAAGAAAACGAAATTAAATTTTTGGCTATTGTATTTTGTCTGAAAGTATGCGCCATGAATATTTCACATGTAATTTGTACGTGATCCTTGTAAGTCTTTCAAACATTTTTAATCTCAGTTTTGGGTTTTATAAGCAATTACCACCCTTGGAATTCTGTCTGCTCCAAAGATTAAAATAAATAAATAAATTGATGTATTAAAACATTTAAATGACTGGTGATGATTAGACCCTATTTGGCTTAGATAAAAATTATATCTCAATAAATTTTGATGAAAGGTGATGGGATGTTGTGAGTCCTATGAAAAGTATGGTTGAAAATAAGTTTTAAGAAATCGGAGTCAAAGAGGGGATTATTCGGTATAGGCTCAATAAAATTTTTGAGGTTGCAACCACATCTAAGAGCATCTTGAAGAGACTCTATTTTGAAAGAGTATATTCTATCATTTGAAAAACATTTATAAATTTAAAGAGTTAAAATTTTGAAGTACTTTTACAAATTCTTTATATTTAACACTTAGTTTTACTACAAAAAAATATTTTTAATTTTTTCTATATTTGACTTTCACTAGTTTTCCTTTAGATTATTTTATTATTTTCCTACATTGAAAATTGAAACATTTTGACTGCATTTAGAGAGTGAGTTTGGCTCTCCAAATATTAATTAAAAGAGTCTCTTAAAGTATGATTTTAAGGGTTGACTCTTTAAAACAGAAGGTATCTTATATTTAAAGAGTCTCTTGAAAAATGATCTAATGACCTTAATGGTGAGGAGTGCGCTAAATTTTATTTCTTCATCCATTTTTATTGACTTGGAAAATTCAGAATCAAGCTTGGAAGTAGTAAATTATGGTACGTCGTTGTAGAATTAGTAGATAAATGTTTGTTTAGTTCTAGCAAGTGAACATTTTGAGATCGAAAAATTGAGCTGTACAACACATAAGCAATATGTGATTTCATTATTATATAGTAGAATTTGCTTCTCTATCTATCTATGCAATCCGATTATGGTTTAGCTTAACGGATGCTTTTTATGTTATGACTATTAATTGATCAAGGGGAATATGTTAATGTTATTTAGAGAGAATGTTGCAAAACTTGAAAGGATGTCTCTGTATTTGTTAGAAGCCTGAATGTCTGTCTTTGTAATTTTCTTGGATAGTAAATATACTGTAAAAACTCTTTCATAGCATGTTCCATGCCTGGCCTGGACAATAATGCAGAAGAACAAGAAAAAAGAAATTAAATTTTGGCTATATTATGTGTAAAATACTGCACGATAAATATTTCTATCCTTGTTTGACAAGCATTAAAAATGGAATTTTTTTCTGAAAATAATGAGTTTTGAAATAGTGATTTTTTTTTAGGATGTGGTTAAAAAATAAGAAAAAGTTCTGAATATTTTACTGTAAGAATATGTGATTGGAAATTAATTCCAACAAAAATAAGAGTTTTATTTTAATGAATGTCAAACAGGGAATGCATTAGAGTAAAAATTTAAAAGTCATGTACTTGTGCTTGATCCATATAAATTTTTGGAAAAATTGTAGCAAAAGCTCCAAACCTTTGAAACATTAATAGACTTTTCTCAAATCTTTCATTTATTGCAGTTGTCACCCCTAATATTTTCAAACGTTGCAGATGAGACCCCTTTAGACGGTTTCAGTCAAAAAATTCGTTAGTTGATCGAAAATTTGGACTTTAACCACATTTTAATCAATTATAAAGGGACAAAAATGGTAACTTTATATTTACCACTTTAAACAATTAAAAAAACCTAAATCAAAAACCAAAAAAAAAAAAAAAAAAAAAAAAGAAAAAAAAAAGAAAAAGGGATTTTTTTCCCCCACCACCTCCGCCTCTGACTGAAACCACCAGTCTCAAGCAATGGTGTATTGAAAGAATCTTGTCCGATTTCCCTCTTTCTTCTCAAATTGGTGGCAAATTTCACCATTTGAGCACTGACGACATCGGGCACCACAGTCAAAAGGCACTGGATCGTAAACCCCCGTTCCCTCACCACAACAAACACCAGCTTTTTACCTACAGCTCGAATCAGAACATCCTGGTCTTTTTTGGACAATTTCTTACTTCCTTCCTTCTTCATTTTGCCATTGATCTTCATGGTTTGTTGGGTTTTGTGATGTTTCTTCAGAAGCAATTTTTACAGAGAAAGGATAGGGATTGCGTAGGGTTTTTGAGGCCGTCATCATCACATTTAGCGCCTGGGGAGTTGTACCGAAATCGCTTCTTTTCTCTCTTCCACTTCTGATACCACCTCCACCTCTTGATGTTGAGGGTTCTGCCCCAATATGTAATGGATCTAGGATGAATGACCCTAGGAGAGAAGAAAATGAAACAAAAATGTGTTGAATTTAGCCCAAAACACTGTAGCTTTAATTGTCGAAGAAGGAAATCAAGAGCTTTGCTACAGCGGAAATGATTTGATGTGTATGGATCTCATTTTGAAATGGAAAGGGATATGGAAACAGATACCTTCTGCTCACCGAGGTCACAAAATCGTGATATCAGGGGCAAGAGTGTAATATCTTAAATTAATGGAAAGAAAAGTCAAATTAAAAAAAATTACAAAAGATAAAAAAAAAATGGCAGTGGACACTCAAAACAATCCATTATAAATCTATCCAAACCATTAATTAATAACACACACACAAAATACACACTCAAAGTAAAACGATATAGAGAAGAAGAAGAGAGAAAAAGAGAAAGTAAAAAGAAGGGGGGAGGGGGGGGGGAGAAAAAAGAGGAAGAGAAGAAAGAAAAAAGAGAAAAAATTCGCCAATGTGTTAGGAATAAAGTGCTATATACTATTAGACTTGAATTTCTCAATTTTGAAAGGTAAGTAAAAAGTTACTTATTGGAAGGTTATGTTTGATTTTATAATTGTTAGATTGTTAGATTAAATTCAATTTTATTGAAAGGATTAAGTATAATAAACTATGAAATTAAGTAAAATGAAAGAAAAATTAGTTTTAGTAATTAAAGAGACTTTAGAAATCGCCTAAACGTGAAATAATTAAGATTTCGTATCACCTATTTAATTAATGAAATTTCTTAAAATAATTAATTATTGATTTAAAAATTAGAACATATTTCAGACGACGATACGAATATCGGAACAGTTTACCAATCGAGTTGATTTTAACGTACATAGTTCTGTGAGTGGAAAAATATAAATATTTTTAAAATATTTATAAATTAAGTATATTGTTAAAGTATGTTCAATTATATACAATTATGTGTTTGAATTACATCGTTATTATGGAAATATCTTTTATTATGATGCATGTGGGATTTCAAAGATTGTATATGGTATATTGTGAATTGAAATATGAGATATGATTTTGAGATCGACCAGAAAAGTACCTGTGATTATATATTTCTTCTAATTCGCTGAGAGGTTTTGATCGTGTTTTATACTACACTGAGGGATCTTGGACCGGGGATGAAGGGGTCTGGACCATGTACATATAGTTCACTGAGGGGTCTTGACCGTATTCTAGAATTGATTATGAGAGATCTTTGAGACCAACTTTCGTTCTCGGAGGGAGCCAAAGGCCCATGGCAAAAGTTCTTAGTCCGAGGGGCAAGTTACATATTTCAGTCAGAGAGTGCATTTTTTGTGAATTTTTAGCACGTTTGATGTGATGATATTTAATGACCTTATGTGAATATTTCACTTTTTGGCTATAATTACATGATGGTAGCTTGTGAATTATCAAATGATATGAATTTGATTTTCAATAAAAATATATAAATGAAAAAATATATTTATTTTGAACTTCTCCACTCACTGAACTATTAACTCATATATTTTTCCACATTTTTCCTTATCAAGCAGCAGTTGAGTATCTGTGCATTTTTTGGAGTTGAGCCTTGATTTTGAAGTCAGACACATGACAGAGTTTGTTAGTATGACTCATTTCATAGAACATGTAGTCAGTGTTTTGGGACGCATGTTCATGCCTAGATGTGATTTTGCATCACTCGTAGATAGTTATGGGGCTCACTATATATTTTGTATCCATATATACATTTCATTTTATTTCTTGGTAAAAGTTGAGGTTTCGACTTATCTTTATTGTATTGTGTTATTGTTTGGGATTTGTGTGAAATTGATCACAAGTTGGTTAATCCTGTTTACACGGTAGATAATGTCGAAATTCTGTTAGCAAAATGATATATAAAAAGTGATATATTATACTTGTAATAGCCTTGATAGTGGGTTCGACTTTTAGTTAGTATCTATCATCGGTGCATGCCACGTCTAGGTCCAGTAGTGTTACACGGGGTGGGGTGTGTCAGAGAGAGAGACCGACATTGTTAGGGGTTGGGGGTGAAGGAGAAGAAGTCTTTTTCCTTTTTATTTTGTTTTATTATTCTTTTTTTTTTTATTTAAGTTTTTTAAAGTGAAAAATATAAAGTTACCATTTTGTATAATTAATTAAAATGTGGTCAAAGTCCAAAATTTCGGTCAACTAACAGAATTTTTGATGGAAACCGTCCAAAGGGGTCTCATCTGCAGCGTTTGGAAAGGTTTAGGGAAAGTCTGCTAATGTCTCAAATGTTTAAGGCTTTTGCTGCAATTTTTCCTAGATTTTTCAACCATTTCTAATCACAGTTTCTTTTTTTCTTTTTTTCTTTTTTTTTTTGTCATATAGACATTGACCACACTTGAATTCTATCTCCTCCAAAGAAGGTTAGGAGTTAAAAATAAAATAAATTGGTAATAATTATTTGGCCGGGGTTCTGTTAACTTTTGAGCTTGCAGGAAATGGTGAGAACTATAAACCAATATGAAGTAGCTAAATAAATGAGTTGCTGGCAATTTTGACAAAAATAACCGATAAAGACCTGGATTTGCAGTTTTTTTTTCTCTGCCCATTAAAGACAGACAATGACTTCAGAGGTCCTTAACACTTCAAAAGTCTTTGGTAATAGAATGCTGTCTTCCAGCAAGAATGTACTTAGGGAGTGGACTTGAAATTCTACCCCATTACATACGTAGATTTTATTTCCAATTTTGCATCTATAAATTACAGTTTCATATCATCAAAATTAATCCAAGCACAAACGAAATCCCAGTTTAATAACCATGTTGAAGTACCCCATTTTTACATTTTTCTTGTTTCTGCCTTTTCTCTTCTTTGTTTGTCTTAAACCTGCTTCTGCTTCTTTTGCAGAAGCAAATGCTTTACTGAAATGGAAAGCCACTTTCAAAAATGAGAACAATTCCATTCTAACTTCGTGGACTCATCCAAAAGCAAGTGGTAGTCCTTGCAATTGGTTTGGAGTTTTTTGCAGCATTGACGGAAGTGTCAACAAGCTGAACCTCACAAATGCAAGTATTTATGCCACCCTCTATAAGTTTCCATTCTCGTCTCTCCCATATCCTGCTTTTATCGATTTATGCATCAACCGACTTTTTGGCTCCATTCCACCTCAAATAGGTAAACTCTCAAAACTCGTCTATCTTGATATATCCACAAATCAGCTTACAGGAACCATCCCATCAGAAATAGGCCGAATAACTGGTCTTCGAACTCTTCATTTGGTTGAAAATCAACTTAATGGCTCGATTCCTTCCGAAATAGGACAACTAGTGTCTTTAAGTGAGCTTGCATTGTACAGTAACAAACTTGATGGTCCAATTCCTGTTTCTTTTGGCAATTTGAAAAACTTGACCTTTTTGTATCTTTATAATAATTCTCTTTCTGGATTTATACCCCCTGAAATGGGAAATCTCTCCAATCTTCTAGAGGTTTACATGGACACCAACATGCTGACAGGGCCCATACCTCCCACTCTAGGGAACTTGAATCAACTGTAAATTTTGAATCTTTTCAAAAATAAACTTTCTGGTCCGATCCCTCCTGAGTTGGGGAAGCTAAAGTCACTTGAAACCCTGAGTTTAAACAATAATAATCTCACAGGTTTGATCCCAGCCTCTTTAGGCAAAGCTACGGGTCTAACCATTCTGCACCTCTACGCTAATAACCTTTCTGGTCCTATCCCACCAGAGTTGGGGAATTTGAAATCTCTCGGTGAACTAGAATTGAGCGAAAATAATCTAACTGGATCCATCCCTGCTTCATTAGGTGACCTGAGTAATTTAGAATATTTGTTCCTTCGTCAGAACCAACTTTCCGGTCCCATTCCAAGTGAACTAGGAAAACTGAAGAAACTTGTCGTCTTGGAAATGGATGAAAATCAGTTTTCTGGTCATTTGCCAGAGTCATGTGGTGGTAGGTTAATACAACATTTTACTGTGGATAACAATAGACTTTCAGGTCCAATCCCTAAAAGCTTGAAAACTTGTTCCAATTTGACCACAGCCCAATTTGATCACAACCAGTTTTCTGGGAATCTGTCGGAAGAATTCGGTGTCTATCCAAATTTGACGTTCATGGATCTAAGTGACAATAAATTCTATGGTGAACTCTCCAGCAATTGGTGTAGTAGCAAACAACTAGCAATTCTGAGAATTGCAAAGAACAAACTTTCAGGAAACATTCCTCCAGAATTTGGAAATTTAAGTCAAATACTTGTACTCGATCTTTCTTTAAACCAGTTATATGGGGGGATTCCAAAGGAAATTGGGAAGTTAAGTTTACTTATGAATCTTCGCCTGAATTACAACCAACTATCTGGAGATATACCTGAAGAATTGGGATCACTGTCAGAGTTGATGTACCTCGACCTTTCTAGAAACAGATTGGCAGATCAAATACCAAGAAATTTAGCAGACTCCAAGATATTGTATCACTTGAATTTGAGCAACAACTATCTAAGTCAGAGAATCCCTGTTCAGTTTGGTACGTTAACTCATCTGTCCGAGTTGGATTTGAGTAATAATTCACTCACTGGAAAAATACCATTTGAATTAGGAAAGATGCCAAGCCTGGAACGGTTAAACCTCTCCCAAAATCACCTCTTTGGACCGATTCCTGATAGTTTTCAGGAAATGCATGGCCCTGTGGAGATCGATTTAACCTATAATGAGTTGGAGGGTCCAGTTCATGCTGGAAAATCCTATCAGAACTTCTCCATCAATCAACTACGAGGGAATAAAGGATTGTGTGGAAATATTGCCGGACTACTACAATGCAAAAGCAAAAACCACAAGACAGGGAATAACAACAAACTCATTTTCATCATTGCAATCCCTCTTCTTGGTGTTCCTTTACTTCAATTTGCATTCATCGGGGTCTTCATTGTGTATAAACACAGAAAGAGGAATTCAATGGAAGTGCATGATGATTTTCTTTCTATATCCAATGGAAGACTCGTGTATAAAGACATCTTAGAGGCCACAGATGAATTTGACACGGAATTTTGCATTGGGGAGGGAAGTTGTGGAAGGGTTTACAGGGCACAGCTTCCGTTAGAAAACACAAGAGCAGTAAAAAGACTTCATTCCTTGCCTGAAGTGGTGACAGTAGCAGTGAAAAGGCTTCATTCCACGTCTGAAATGGCAAACCATAGAGCTTTCCTGAATGAAATAAAATCTTTGACAGAAATCAGGCACCGAAACATTGTGAAACTTTATGGTTTCTGCTCAAATGCTCGACACTCGTTTTTGGTTTATGAATACCTTGACAGAGGTAGTTTGGCCAGAATTCTAAGCATAGATGAAGAAGCTGAAACATTGAATTGGCCTAAAAGGGTAAATATCGTGAAAGGCGTGGCTCATGCTTTGTCTTACATGCATCATAGTTGTTCTCCTCCAATTGTTCATCGAGACATATCGAGCAAAAACATTTTGCTCGATTCACAGTACAAGGCGCATATTTCTGATTTTGGCACTGCTAAGTTTCTGAAATGCGATTCATCAAATTGGAGCGCTCTTGCAGGAACATATGGCTACATTGCTCCAGGTAATATTCCTTTCGTGCTGGTTTACCACTTGGCTTACAGAATGCTGACTTGGCAAGATTTTGCACCTTTTTGTACAAACAACAAAGTTAAATTCATCCGTGAAATCTTACCAGCTCAGCACATGTAACCCCATCTATTAAAAAAATTTATACAAGTAGCATTTTCCTATTTCTTTTTCTTGCATTCCTTTCAAGAACATAGATATGTGACTTCATTGTATTCATTCGCTGCTTTTTGGACAGAGTTTGCATACACGATGAAGGTCACTGAAAAGTCTGATGTGTATAGCTTTGGAGTGTTAGCATTGGAAGTGATCAAAGGAAAGCATCCCTGTGATTACATCGAATATGTAACACCTCCATCGCATCATTGTGCTTTACAATTGAAAGATTTCTTGGATCCGCGCATTTTCTATCCCACTCGAGAAGAAGAGGAGATTCTGATGTTCATTATTGAACTTGCAACTAAATGCCTGCACTCAGATCCACATTTAAGGCCCACCATGCAATATGTTTCTGATGTGCTGGTGCATCCACGGTAAAATCTAGTCAAGTTAAACTTGAATTGCTAGAAGGTTTCCCAATAATGCCACTAGTTTTTATATAGTTTTGTTTTTTTTTTTAGTTTACTATTGTGCTTTGAATACTTCGTTTCGCACACTTTGATAATGTCACGAGCATAATATGATGGAAATTGTATCGGGAATGGTTAATATTGATTTATGTACAAGATTCAATGTATAATTTCATACCATTTGATAGTTGCTTCAGCGTCAAAAAATTTTGTAGGATGTGAAGCTCTAGTTTTTCCTTTTTCCCTTCACAAATAAGTGCGACGTGCATCTCCAACAAATATTATTTATACACTTGGCCTAGAGCGCTTTCTTGATCAGTCTTCCTAGTAAAGCTGGTCCATGAAATAAGCTACTTTCAATATCTTCATCACGTTCTTCTCTCAACATTTATACGAACATGAGTTTACCGAATAATATAAATCAAATGAAGAGTTGATATAATTATTTCCAAAGAAGTTGTTTTATTTATCTAAAATCTATCCTTTAGTTTATTAGCATGGTTGAGAGCTCGACGAATGTAATGGCATTAATATTGTTTAGACATGATCGGTGGGTGCAAAACCATAAATCGAGAATTACCACGGGAGTACAACTAGATTATATTTGGTTAGGTGGAAGAGTAGTGTTCGACAACATTATCGAAGAAAGAGAAGTTAAATCTTGTTCATTTTACAGTTCCATCCTCCCTACTGTGTATCAAACATGCACTTGGAAAATAAATATTAGGTAAGATGTTAGTTTGGATTCAATAAATTGAAAAGTTACTTAAATAAAAGGCGACGAGTGTGTTTTGTAATTTGGATTCAGTTATATTTATCATATTGTTGATTATTTCAACTTTTGGTTCCCCTAGTTAGCTCATATCGGAACGGGGGAGACAACGTAAACTTGACTCTATTAAAATCAGACGCTAAACTACTGCACGAGAAATTTTCGAAGAAGGCTTACGATGATGATGACATCATTAGGATTTTGTTGACAAGGAGCAATGCACAGGTCAAGACGACGCCAAATCAATACAAAAATGAATTCGGAATAGACATAAACAAGGTAATGCAAAAACTAAAACAGTAAAGTTGTAGTAAATGCAGGTTAACCCTTTGAAAGTGAGGTGACAAGACACCGACCCGTGATTATAGCTTAAGAAATGGATTTGGAGGCGCTCTGGTTTACAAGTTTTTAGGTTCTACATCCACCACTTTCTTCCTTCAAAACTACGTTCAAGAATCCTAAAATGCAGCTACAGTATTGGTGTAACTTGGATCACATTAGAACAAGTTCATGTGCAAATACTTCGCATGGACACAAACTATATGAGTAAACAAATGCTTACTTCCAAGTCCCTTAAACAAATCAAACAGAGGACTAAAAAAAAAACAGATAACTTTCAGTAATGTCATCGAGTCTAAGGAGTTTAAAACAGCTAGTGAGACTGTCGAAGATATTTAAAGTAAAATAAACAAAATGAACTAACCAAATTCAGTAGAGCCAATCACTTCATTAACATGAACAAAGAACAGTAAATACAATCCAATTAGCCAACTCTTCATAACACTGATCAACATGTTAATCAACCCTAAAACATACCAAAACCCACCACACAAGGGACAAATCGTATTGAAACAAATCCCTTCTAAATAAGATCAAAGAAGAGCCAAAGGATGATGACAATGTATAATAAGAAAACAAATCCCATCTAAATAAGATAGACACAGGTAAATGAACAGTTGAGTTAGACCTAACAAGTTACACCAGAGCAATGCTGCTCTCACCACCCGGGGGCTTGCGGACCCCACCTAGGTAGTCCCGAGATTCAGCTTTCCCATCGGCAAATATATTACTGCCACTCATTTCTCGCAATTTAGCAGAACTCAGAGGCTTCTCAGCAGATGCAGGTGGTGTATCTCCCTTGAAAATATTGTTGCCCGAAAGCTCAGCAAATTTCTGGTTAGGAATCTTCTTTGCTGTCTTGACAACTGGTTCCTCACTCAAAGCACCATTATTCAGGCCTCCAGCACCCTACAAATGAGGGGAAAAAAATTGAGAACCAATTAGAAAAATGAAGAGTCTCAAATTCCATAAAAACGAAGACGTGGATCAACAATACCAAAAAGGATATATACACAATTAATTAAAATAAGACATCGTCCAATTTGTGGCTGAACTCATTCGATCTTAAACTTTAACGGAACCTGTTCTCAATTTTACCTTTCCAATGACAATTTTCATCAAATATTATATAAGCTTTTCCTTTTATTTTCTAGGTTGAGAAACGAGGAAAAGTGAGAGCTATCAGAGCTATCGTAATGACAACATTCACAGCATGAGCATATTTGCCTACATTGACAGATGCAGGTTCTCCAATAGTAACGCTTTCTCGTAATGCCAAAGCGCGAGCAGACAAGGTGCGAGGTTGAATTTCAGGTGGCGGAGCAAAAATATCATGCCCACTGAGCTCCTTCATTTTGCCGTCGGAAATTTGTTTCTTCAACATTGCCTCGGACTCACTTTCCAAATTTCCACTTAACTCCCGCTGCTTTGCCACTTCAGGCAGACTAGTTGGCTTCTTGGGAGAAACTGTTTCTTCTTCACCAAAAGAAATGTGACTGATTCCCGCCAATGCTTGCTATTAACAATTCAACCATCAAAGGTAGGTAATAAATGTACCAAACTCATCATATAGAATTGTATAACAAGATTTAGCTTAACCAGAAAATATCAAACAAATACCTGGTACATTCGTAATCCAGTTTTGTTCACCGAGTTCTGCTCAGTATCCTCAGATTCAGATGCTCCATTTTCACCCTTGGATTTGAATATGCCACTGCCAGTCATTTCCTTCATTTTATAGTCGGAACATGGTTTCCTGGAATGGCCCAAACACTAAAAGTTTTCAGCAATTTTAACAGAAAGTGGTACAAAACGGATAGATAGAACCAATAAAATTGAAAATGATAAAAGAGCTATACCGTGCTTGCATGAAAAAGAAAAAAGTACTGCTTTTTCATCTCATTAGCGTTTAATCTTGAGATAACAATAACAATAACCATATTAAAACATATAAAATGTTTGAAAAGAGGTGAAATGGACTCGTTATCTGCTCCCGTGGTACCATCAAGACCAATAATGTCTGATTCAATCAAGAATAGCTAATTTTTGTTATCAATCAAGAATTTAACTACATGCTACAATATTCTTCATTTATGCTAATAATGTTGGTTCTCCCGGTTCAATCTTATGATATGATGAAAGAATTAAATTCCATAAATTCAAGAGTGTCAATCGAATTCAATACTTGAAGAACTTAGGTAAGATATGAAATGGCAATAAAAGGTTTTCAAAATGAGAATATTAGAAACACAGAGGTATATAGAGATCTCACTAATTCAGTAACTTCTTGACTAAACAACAAGGCCAATTGAACAATCATTGACAAAAACTTTGAATATAATAATAAATTAATCCAAAAATGAGAAACATGAATAAATTTATAAACGAAATAATAAATGAGAAAACCGTGAATATGATAATAATTCATCCAAAGATTTACAACAAAACAATAGCGAAAAAATTCTTTGTACCATAGCATTTATTGCTCGAATTAGAGTCATAAAATCAGTTTGAAAAAAAAAATTAAAAAAAATGAAGATTGAAGATTGAGAAATAACAAGTAAATTCAATACACAAATTGAGCTAGATCTTTAACCTTTTATTCAAGCTCTCGACTTCTTCATCCGTAACCTGACCTCCAAACACCACCTTTCTGATGCCATCGGATGGCTGTAATTCATTATTTCAAAATTAAGCAAAAACATCTAAATTTAAGAATAAAAGAAGCAAGATAAATAATTCCGTGAAATGGATTTAACTTCACCTGGTGGGAACGGGCGGATGAACGGGAGGCAGAGGCCGTCGAGGGCGAATATTCCGGAGGATTCTCAGACCAGGTCAGCAGATCTGCCGTTGATGTGTGAGGTTTCCTCACCGGCGTGTTCTTCTCCATTTCAAAATTTATTTTTCCCAAAAATCAAAATCAAAATGCTCTGTCTTTTTGCTGAACTGAATCGAATCAGTTTATTTTTCGTCTTCTTGTTCTAAACCTCGAGATCTGAGTGCGATGAATAGATATCACGATGACCGATTTCCTCTGTGCTCCTCGAGATTTTTTCTGGGTTTTTTTTCAATAACGTTTGTTGGGAGCTAGAGAGAGAAACTCTTACAGTAGCCGAGTGACAGTAGCGAGTACCCAATAGTCAGACTTGGATTGAATTCTTTTGAACTTTTATTCCGCTCTGTTTATACGGGAGCATGTGCACTGGCTCGACAGGCACGTGGCCCTGGCAGAGTAAGCCCACATTAGTATTCCTATAATACCCATGATATATGCCCATAACCCCTGCAGCTTCTTTTGAATTTATGTTTTTATCGTAATTTTTGCTATTTTCAATCCTTAAAAGTAATTTATTTTGACTACAAAAATAAGGAGACGATAATTTTCAAAAAGGATTAATCTTATTGTACATAGGGGGTACATAAGGGTGTCCATTATGGACACCCGACACCCCCTATTGGAGGGGACGTCGGTGGGTCAGGAGCTCCTTCCAATAGAGAAATGCCGAGTATTCATTATGGACACCCTTATGTATCCCCCTATGTACATGTAGCAAAGTCCTTTCAAAAATCAGTTCTAGCTAGGGCTGTAAGCAAAAATCGCAAAATCGAATCGAAATCGCATTTTAGAAATCGTCGGTTTGGTGCTACGTGAACCCGATTAACGAAATAATTTTGACCCAAACCAAACCGGTCAAAATAGTTGGGTTTAGATTTAAGATTTAAATTGCGGTTTAAAATTGAACCGGGCAGGCGAAAAATATATATAAAAATAAAAAAATGAAAAAATGAAATTTTTTGAAAATTCATTCAAATATGTAAAATTCAATAATTTTGTTATTTGTGAGTATTTTTGTCAATTCTAATTTTCTAATACAGATATATTATTATTATTATTATTATTATTATTATTATTATTATTATTATTATTATTATTATTATTATTATTATCGAATAATCCTAATATATATTTAATAATTTCAAGACTAACATAAACTATCAAAAGCCTTTTTCCTCTTCAAAATTTAGATGAACTACAGTCGACACCTAATACAGTTTTGAGCCACCGGCACCACACTTCTTTTTCAGATTTTTCACACCTCTTCAAAGTTGAATTGAAGTCCATTATACCAAATTTGAGACAAAGAGGTCCTAAACCTTCGGTGATAATATTTGCTACAAATAAAGTTTCAGTTCAATAATTTTTTGGAGCAAACTAAAGTAAGAATCTGAAATTAAATATGTTTCGTAACATCATACAAACGTAAATTTGTGTAATTATTATGTTTAGATATTATAAACAATTGCTTTATTATTGTGGTTGGTTATTCTCTTTGCTTAATCAGTATTCTTTTTTTCAGATATGATAATCACGAGATCTTGTTGAACATAATTATGTTTTTTGGACCTTATATCTAATTTAGTAGACTTGTATTGTAATATTATTGTATCGTCATTAGCCTAAAAAAGATGAACAAAAACGAAAAAAACTATGTTTTAGTTTATTGTGATTTCACTTTGATTTAGTTGATATTTAAATTTATAGTAAATATATTTAGCCCCTGTTTGAGCCATATTTTTCATATCATCATAATGAGAAAATTTACTATTGAAGAGGAAGTTGGGTCCGACACATGAAATAGCAGATAACAAAGGCGACTGGACTTGTGGAATAATGGTCCAAATTTTCATCTTTTTGTCCCAAAAATTTGGTTCAAATAAGGGCTTAGTTTGTTTTAAATTCATTACTAATGAAATATAAATATATATTAAATTCAATAAATTAATAACATAAAAGTAGACGGGCAAAAAAATATATGGCGAAACCGACGGTTTAAAATCGGACCAAACCGTTAGATTTTGGTTTGAGTTTTTTTTCAAACCGTTCAAAAACCAGTAAAATCGAATCGCTTACACCCCTAGTTCTAGCTCTTGTTTGAGTTCCATTTTGAGAGAAAAATGTATTGTTGAATAGTGATTTTTGGAGATTATGTGGTTAAAAATTAAGAAGAAATTTTCTATTTATGTGTAATATTATTTTATTTGAGAATGTATAGTTGAAAAAAGAATTTTTAAAAATTGAGTTTTCAAAAAAATGGGGACCTGGAGAACATAATAAGATACATAAAGGATTCAAATTTTAATTCTTGAGCTTGATAGGGGTGAACACGGTTCACTTCTAAAATAATAATAATAATAATTTGATCAAGAAGACACTAATGAATCAAATCGGATCAAAATCAATCATCAATTCTATTTCAAACAAAGTTTACCCAGGTAAATTCAAGAATTTGTTTGACTTTTAATCCAAGAACCTGAATTATTAAACTTTGGTTTCAAAAAAGAATTAATTAAATTTAATTGAAACTAACAAAGCAGAATTTTTTGCTTTAACATAAAATCGAAGACTCTTATGCAAATAAATAAATACTTGGCGGCCTAATAAAGAAAAGCCAGGCAGCTGTGCTGTGAAAGGGCATTTACGTCCTGGAGAAGTATTAACGGTTCCTTACGCTACGCGACCGAGCCTTCCTCATACGGTACCTGATGTAAAGGTGAAGTTAAACCCACGGCCCACGAGACACAAAAATGACCCGGGCTTGCTTCTGGGCTACTGTAAATGAGTTAATTCAATTTTCAAATTACACAAAGCCCCCTTTTCTAAAGGTTGAACCCCAACCTTAAGGAGCTCCACCGATCCTGTCCTGGGCCATCGTGGAGGAGGTAAATCGCAGGATGTGCCTCCCAGGAGCCAGGATGGAGAGCACATGGATAGGCTAAGGCTGTTAACCCATATGGTAACTCCCGCTTACAACAAAGTCAATTCCACCTTGCGGGGAATCGAACTCTGCACACTGCCGCGCTGAGCCTTATCCGCCCTCCCCTTTGCCACTGGGAGATATGTCCTGAGGGCACAAAGCCCTCTTTTCTAAATATTGCATCTACCTGCTCCACTGATATATGAAATCATGCACTTGTCCAAAAGAGTGGAAAATTAAAATATGAAGGGTTTGTTATAAAAACTTTAGTATACTTTGATAAAAAATAAATAAATAAATAAATAGTAAAATATGCAGTTGAAAAGTTTATAAACAATTTGGGTCAATCCAGATTGATTTCTTCATCCTACCCAAAAATTACATCTCAATTATTTTCTAAATTTCCTGAAATTGAAATATGTGTTGTTATTCCAATCGAACTTTGATCCAGTAGACAATGATATTACAGTATTATACTGATATATAGAAATATTGTATCTTGGAAGATAGATGGCACCTTAATATGTTACTTGTACTCCGGGACAAGACACAATGTCAAGATGCAAGGCCGTCTATCCAAATATTTCTCCATTTACATAGTTCATTTGCAAACCAGTGTAGGTGAAATATTTAAGGTCCCATTTGGTACACATTAATGTAAAAATGAGAATGAAAATTATAGTCGTTATGAACTCCACACAAGAGATAAAAAGTCAAATATGACGGTTTGATGTGATGAATAACGGTCATACTTTTCATTTTAATGGGAAACAAACGGAGGCTTAATCCATGTTCAATCAATTTGTAATAATTAGTGGGTCTGTGCTTGAAATGAATTGTACCATATAGTCGCTTGTAGAACTTTGCAACTATAGTGTAGTTGGTTCGACATATGGCTCTGGATCGGTTCAAAGGCCTCAAAAAATAATGTCAATTGCTTAATCAACTCTTATGGCCATGACTCGCAACGTGTACACCATGTGAAATTGTGGTGTAACAGAGTCCCCCAAGTTTAGTTGTACTATTATGTGTAGGTTGGATTTTGTGAAAAATACAAATAAGAATGAAAAGTTTTTGTGATTGCATTAGATATATCACGACTTATGCTTAATAACCTTTGAAATATAAGCTAATATAGGACTCCGCAACTGTAGTACGATCGGCCCCAATCATGGCTTTGGGTCATTTCGAAGGCCTCAAATAGGAGTGACAGTGGTAGCTTAATCGGCTCTTGTGGGCCCATATCTCACTAGTTGCCGTGCATAGGCCTCATAAACCCAAAACCTTTTTCTCCTTTTTAACTATATATTCTTCAAAAAATCACTATTACAAAATATATACTCATAAAAATGAGGCTCAAACAAACCATTAATATTTGTCAGACTATCAAGTCACTTCAAATAATTAATACAATATTAAAAAATAAAAAGAGACTCAACATCAACATCCCAACACAAACTCGATCTCATCTATACAACATGAGCTCATCCTCCTAAATTCAGTCTTACGTCCTCTTATCGCGATCTTACCTTTATAGGCTTCCACTCATTCTCTCGCCAATTAAGCCAAGTGATAATTTATCTCGTCTTCTTGAACATGAGTTATTTATTACGTCCCTTTTATTTCATGTTTTGTTGAAATATTCGAACATTTTAAGTAGGGATTTTCTCCAGGACACCTCAATCGATTGCTCCATGTGGATCCAATATCTTGGTTTCATGATTATGCAACAAGCAAGATGGAGTTTTGCAGGTAAAAGAATTGGTAAAATGTGGCATTGGCAGAGAATAGAACAAACATGACATGTGGTTATAATGACACCAACCTATTTGGCATTTCAACCTAACTTGGGAAACACACCAAAACTATTACCTTAGAGATCCTTAAAAAAAGGTACAATTATTTCATCTTTTCAAGGTTCAATCCCCTTTATTTAACATTATTTTCATGAAAATTTTATCGTTATTAGTTAATAGTTAAATAATGAAGTATCCTAATCAATGGATCATAAAAGCTTGTTAGTTAATAATCTTGTAGTTTATCAACATTCGACTGTTAGTCAAATACAATTCGATATCAAAGTTGGTAAGAAGTCACCAATTCTGCTCCTTTTACATAAATAATAGTAGCGTGGCACTAATGATTACTTAAATCGAATTTTAGAAAGGTGAAGTGCACTACGTAGGTACGATAATAATGAAATTACTCTTTTAAAAATTGTTTGGTGCAGCTTAAAAAACTTGCATATGAATAAACTGAAATATTTGGCCAAAATACCTTACTTTTAAGATAAAGTAGTCTTTTTACAAATAAATATAAAAATCATATAGGATGTGTTTGATTGCGAGCCTAAAATTTACATGGAAATAAAATAAATTCTAGGCGAATGAATTGTCTAGAAATCATTTGTCTAGA